GAGGAACCTTAAAAACTGACAAATCCTGCTGTGAGTAGGTACAGAATAAAAACTTAGATTAGCCAGGTACCGGTGGCTATACTTGTCATTGTAGCTGACTCACGCCTGTAATCCTAGCTACTCAGGAGGCTGAGATCTAAGGATAACTGTTCAAAGCCAGCCCAGGCAGGAAAGTCCATGAGACGCTTATCTCCAATTAATCACCAAGAAAATCCAGGAGTAGAGCTGTGACTGAAGTGGTAGAGCACCATCCTTAAGAAAAAAATCTAAGGGATAATAACCAGTTCCTGAATTCAGGCACCAGTACCTGCTCATATACACAGACACACACAAAACAAAATACCCTCCGGTCACCTGAGAATGTGAAATAGTTTCAAGAAAGACTTGGCTAGGCTGATTAGGGATTCTCCAGCCAAAATTGCCATTATAGGAGTCCAATAGAAACTCACACTTCAGAACTCTCACATCAAAGGCTATGCATTAATCAGGTGGTATTTTTCTTTGTTTGTTGTTTTTGTTTTTGTGATAAATACATGAGAGAAACAATTTAATGGAGGAGAGATTCAAGATTCATTTGGCTCATGATTTCTAAGGTTTTAGCTGGCTCTATTTTTTTTTTTAATTTGGTCGTGAACTCTGGGCCTGGTCGCTGTCCCTCAGCTCTTCAGCTCAAGGATAGCACTCTACCACTTGAGCCACAGAACCACTTCTGGTTTTCTAGTGGTTTATTGGAGATAAGAGTTTCATGGACTTTCCTACCTGGGCTAGCTTTGAACCATGATCCTCTGTTCTCAGCCTCCTGAGTAGCTAGGATTACAGGCATGAGCCACCAGCGCCCAGCTTAGACCTCACCACGGAAGAGTCCATTTAGCTGTGAAGTCATCAATGGTTTAATCTTTGATGAAGTTAGCTCCCTCCTGATCCAATCACCTGTCAAAAGCATCACCAGCTTGGGGCGGAACCTGTGGGGATGACTTCACACCCAAACCAGTGAAGGTACAGAAGGCTGGGAGCAGTCGCAGGAAGCATGATCCCCGTGAGAAGAAGGTGATGGATCTCAGGGCCAGCGGGACAGTCATCAATTACACTTCCCACAGAGGTTAGAGCAGGCTTTGTCATGACAGCCACAGGTCTTGTGGCCTTGGAGGGAGCTGTTCCATTTTCTCTGTAGGTCAGAGTATGTCAGGTCCTGTCACTTCAGGGCCCCCCACACACACCATGAGGGGGTAGGGGGAGCCAAGAGAATCCAGAAAGACAGAAAGAGGAATGGCCATGGAAAGATGGCAGAAACGAGGTCAGGCCAAGGCTTTGTTCTCAAGCTTGCCCTTCCATCTCAGTCGCTGTTTTGGGTCCAAGTTGACCCCTTTCTGTTGAAAGATTAGTCAGGGATGGGACCATCCAGATGAAGTGCATGCATGTGAAACCATAAACATCTCAATCTGAGGCAAAAGAAACTCCTGGCTGGGCTTTAGGGACTCAGATCTAGGACCAAACATACCTTATACTTGTGTGAGATCGCACGCAAATTAGACACCTCCTCTGGGCCTCAGCTTTCTTGGCTTTGATTGGGAATGTTACCACTTGCTCCACTTCCTACTTCATGCAGATTTGAGGACGTGTTGGTTGAAACAGAGGACTGTAGAGTTACTATGCCCAGATTGACTCATGAGAGCCCCCCTCCTTCTCCAAAGGAAGGGGTGAGTTGTTACCAGGGTAGCTGGTAGTAGACACTGCTGTGGTGTCCAGTTCTGTGGATGATGGGATAGAGCCATGCATGGGCTCTTTTGCCTCTACCACCAGGCGAAGTAATTGTCCCTGATTCTTACTCCCCAGTGTCTTCCAAAATGAATTTTCTAACCTGCTTCTCAGAGGCAAGAATTCTCTGCATACAATGGGGGTAGGGGGCGTTGAAAGGAGTGTTCCTTAAACAATGAAGGCATAGAGGCCCCAGTGAAAATATCACATGCATGTATAGTGCACATGTGTATGCATGCACATGCACATGTGATGTTGTGTTATTCCTCAGGCTGAGGTCTCAGTGTCCTCAAGGGGTCTAACAAGTCTACCAAGAAGCAGGAGTGGAAGTCATGTAAGCAAGCCCTAGAGAATTCTCCCCTTCTCCCCCCCTCCAGTCTCCTTAACAGATTTCTGGACTCAGTCCTACTGGCTTCCTGCATACAGTAGGGACCCACCGTGCTTGTTTGTGGTTTTACTTTCCTTTTACTCTGCACAGGGTGTTCTGGTGTTGATGGTGACTAACATATTCTCTGTTTGGTCTGCTCCAATGACCTTGCATCACAGCAGCAACCCAGAAAAGGCAGCTTACCAGGAAAGTGAAACTCACATGCTGCATGCTTTTCTAATAGCATGTCTCCAAGGAAAGAGCCTGGCTGCAGTGGGGACAGTTTAATTTCCTGTGGTGAGGTCAGACAGCACGAGGTCTACCTCATCCTGCCACCTACCACCTACTATTTTGTGACTGTGACCAAATACCTGAGAAAAATGGCTTAGAGGGAGGAACATGTATTGTGGCTCATGGTTTCAGAGGGTTCTGCCCATGGTCACTAGCTCTGTGTTTTCTGAGGCAGACTGACCATCATGGAGGCTGGAATGTGTAGTAGAGGAGCTTCTTCTATGGTGAACAGGAAGTAGAGAGCAAGGAAGGGTCTGGGGATCAGGAACAAACGTACAGTTTCTCCAACTAGGCCCCACCTCCTAAAGCTCCCCAAACCTCCCAAAATAGCACCACACACGACCTGTGGGATTTATGGTTCTCCACAGTGTCCTTAGACTCTGCTTCCTGTCTGCCATGAGGTGAACAGCTTCTTCCATCACAAACTCCTGCTGCCACGATCCTCTGCCTCACCATGGGCCTTCAAGGACCATGCATGCACTTAAATCTCTGAGACCATGAAATAAAACAAATCGTGTGTGTATGTGTGTGTGTGTGTGTGTGTGTGTATCTGTCTGTGTGTGTGTATGTATCTGCCTATGTCTGTTTCTGTGAGTGCTTGCCAGTACTTGGGCTTAAACTCAGGGTCTTATGCTCTCACTTAGCTTTTTCCACTCAAGTCTGGGGCTCTACCACTTGAGGCTCACCCCAATTCCAACATTTTGTTGGTTAATCAGAGATAAGGGTTTCTCAGATATATCTGCCCAAGCTGGCTTTGAACCTGGATCCTGACTCCTGAGTAGCTAGGATTATAGGTAAACCATTGGAATCTTGTTATTTTTCCTCATTTTAAGTTATTTCTGGTAAATAGTTTATTACAGCAACCAAAAAAGTTAAAGGATTAAAAAACAGTTCAAATGCCAGGTGCCAGTGGCGCATGATTGTAATGTTAGCAATTTAGGAGGCTGAGGTATGAGGATCATGGTTTGAGGTCAACCCTAGAAGGAAAGTCCATGAGATGCTTATCTTGTTAATCATCACACACACACACACACACACACACACACAAAACCAAGCCGGGCATCAATAACTCACACCTGTAATCCTAACTACTCAGGAGGCTGAGATCTGAGGATCACAGTTCAGCCAGCCTGGTCAGGAAAGTCCGAGAGACTCTTATCTCCAATAAACCACCAGAAAACTAGAAGCGGCACTATGGCTCAAGTAGTAGAGCACTCACCTTGAGTTGAAGAGCTGAGGGATAAGGCCCAGGCCCAAAGTTCAAGCCCCATGACTGACAAAAACAAACAAACAAAAAAACAGAAGTGGAGCTGGGGCTCAAGTGGTGACGTGCTAGTCTTGGGCTTAAAAGCTCAGGGACAGTGTCTAGGCCATGGGTTTAAGCCCTAGGACCAGCACCAAACAAAATAAAACGTCAAAACCTTCATTTAAAAAATTTTATTACTATAAATTGTACAAATTGGAATTCATTGTGATATTTATAACACACATACAATTTACTTTGATCAAATTCACCCTGAATTGTGGTGTTTTGAGGTCCTTAGTGAAAGCCAGGTCCCTGATACCCAGGCCCTTAACACTCGGCCTAGCGTAATTTGGGACCTTTTCTGGGAGATGCCATACTTTGAATACTTTAAGGAAAGCGTATGATTCTTACAGATTGCCAGCAAGAAAATTATCTTATTTCTTCTCTCCAGATAAAGAAACAGGCTCGCGGAAGTCCTGTCACATGCCCCCCAGGTAAGGCTCGCGGAAGTCCTGTCACATGCCCCCCAGGTAAGGCTCGCGGAAGTCCTGTCACATGCCCCCCAGGTAAGGCTCGCGGAAGTCCTGTCACATGCCCCCCAGGTAAGGTCCCGTGTGGTTGACAGAAAGGAATTTCTGCTGCAGGAAGTTAGCTGGTGGTGTCCAGCCTGACATCCTGACCCCCAAGCTGGTGACAAGGTGGGCAGAGGGCCATTTGTGGAGAAACCCACCATTATAATTTTTATCTCAATGCATATCAATCCTTTTCTTTAACTCCCCCCAAGAAATGTCTCTAGGGGTAGGGGAGGACAACAAATCAGTAGGCAGAGCCTCCAGGCAGTCACCAAAACCCAGGGTGGCAAGGGCAAAGTCTGGCTGGAACCTAAGGGCTGGAAACATTGAACCATCTGTGCAGGCTTAGTTGAATAGAGCCCCTGAGCCTGAGGGCCTGGGACCCCATCAAGCCTCTCTGCATGTTCAGGGGTGTTCCTAACATTCTACTTCCCACTCAGCCCAGAAATCATGACAAAAGAACTATACAAGACCATCTTGACTCTGCTATCTCAGAGATTGGCAAGGAAGTGACAATGACACCAGTGCAGCTGTGTCCAATGCCTGATGTCCCTGGGACCTCACAGCTCTGCTAAGTCATCAAGATCACTTCCTGGGATCCAGCCACCTTCGTTATCTCCCTGCTTCTGGCTTCCACACCTGGGGGTGATGGGCACCCGTGACTCACACCTGTAATCCTAGCTACTCAGGAGGCTGAGATCTGAGGATGGCAATGTGAAGCCAGCTCAAGCAAAAAAGTCTGTGCAACTCTTCCCTCCAATTCACTACCAAAAAAAAAACTGGACATGGAAGTGTGGCTCAAGTAGAGTACCAGCCTCAAGTGAAAAAGCTAAGGGAGAGCGCTCTGGCCTATGGCCCAAGCTTCCGAATCAGAACAAAAACCAAAAAGAAGAAGACACATTTTTTAAAAAGCCACCTAGGGGCTACAGGGCTTCCAGCAGACATGGAGAGACCCTTGTATTTCCTCAGCTGTACGATGAGAAATCTGAACACAGCACCCCACAGGGGTACATTCCAACATAGGCAGAAAGAGAGGGTTCTTCTGCTCTACCATACTGGTCCCGGCCTGAGCCTGAGGGAAAGTCCAGAAGCAGCCAGACCCTGGCTCCCCTCTCGCTGCTATTGCTGCTGATCGGTGCCGCGAAGGAGGGAAGAGGTGCACCTCCCACGGTCAGGCTCAGAGCAAGGCCCCATCTGCCACTCACATGGGAAGCCTTCTCCGCCTATGAGCCTTCCTCAGTCCTCACCAGGGCCACCTCCCCAATCTGCCACCGACACACAGGGCATTTGGCCGTGTCCCTGAAGACTCGCTGGGCACAGGAGCTGCAGAAGTGTGAGTGGCCGCAGGGAACAAGACGGGTATTGGCAGCATTGTGGAAGCAGATGACACACTCCTCTCCTGGTGTGGCTGTGAAAGGAGACACCACAGAAGTCAGGGGCACAAAGGGCACGAGGTGCTCTCTACTCATTATCCGACCAGCCTGGAGAAGTGCACAAGTTCTAAAGAACAGAACCTCATGAGAAAACATTCAGTAAGTAATCAAGAAAAAAAAAAAAAAGGGTGAAGAGATAGGCTACTCAGGAGGCTGAGATCTGAGGATGGAGGTTCTGTGTCAACATGGCAGAAAAGTCCTTAAGACTCTTACCTGCAATTAACTACCAAAAGGCTGGAAGTGGAGCTGTGGCTCAAGTGGTAGAGCACTAGCTTTGAGCAAAAGAGCACAGACACAGTGTCCATGCCCTGAGTTCAAGCCCCAGGACTTGTGCGTGCATGCACACACGCGTGTGCACACACACACACAGAGGAAGAAAACTGTATACACAATAGTCTTGCTTATTTGAACTTTTGTTTTTCACAGTTTCAGCTACTTGAAGTCTGGAAATATTAAATGGAAAATTCCAGAAAAACGTCATGAGTTTTATTTTTTATTTTTATTTTTTTGGGTCTGGTCATGGGGCCTGAACTCTGGGCCTGGGTGCTGTCCCTCAGCTCTTCAGTTCAAGGCTAGCAGTCTACCACTTGAGTCACAGCGCCACTTCCGGCTTTTTATTTTCTGCTTATGTGGTGCTGAGGAATCGAACCCAGGGCCACATGCATGCAAGGCAAGCACTTTACCACTGAGCCACCTTCCCAGCCCCATCATGAGTTTTAAATAGTTGTTATTGCATTGCAACATTGTCCTATTTTATTCTTGGTTGTGGTCAATCTCTTACTATGTGTAACTTATAAATTTAACTTCATCTTAAGTATGTGTGTCTAGAGAAAACATAACATCTAGAATTATCCAGGCTTTTGGGCATCTGAACATCTTGAACATCTTGAAATGTATACACCAAGGATAGAGGGTTTTATGTGTGCATATTTGTATATGTACAAGTGGTGTATACACACGTAACAAAACTCTAACTTAGAGAAAAGGAAAACAAAGTCCAGACATTTCCCCATGTACACAAATGTATATGCACAGAACTAAAAAACCTGGGACATGGTGAAACCCTGTGGTACAATTAATACAGACTTAAAAGGTCCTGAGTCCAAACCCCAATACAAAAGTAAAGAAATAAAAAGAAAAACCAAGTACTGACAAGAAAGTAAAACAGACTCTGTGAAGAGGGTCAATGTCAATGGGAGAAGGGAGGTGAAGGGAGAGGGTGAATATGGTCAAAGTAGCTCATTTGCATGTGTGAGAATAGAACAAGGAAACTTGTTGAAATTGTGTTAGAAGGGGGAGGGGCAAACGTTTGTGTGGAAATGTCACAACTAACCTTCCCCTTCTTGTATAATGAATGTACACTAACAACAAATCTCAAAAATTATATCAGGAGAAAATCCACCCAAGAGATAATGGGTGATTTCAGTGTTTCTTCTTCATTTCATAATCTTGTTTTTATTTATTTTATTTATTTGTCGGTCATGAGTCTTGCACTCTGGGCCTGGGCGCTGTCCCTGAGCTCTTTAGCTCAAGGCTAGCGCTCTTTCACTTGAGCCACAGCGCCACTTCCAGTTTTCAAGTGGTTTATTGGAGACAAGAGTCTCACGGACTTTCCTGCTGGGGCTGGCTTTGAACTGCAACCCTCAGATCTCAGCCTCCTGAGCAGCTAGGATTTTAGTCTTATTTTTATTTGGCAGAACCTCTTTTGGGGCTTGCACTCTGAGCACTGTCCCTGAGCTCTTCAGCTTAAGGCTAGTGCTCTACTACTTTTAGCCACAGGGCCACTTCTGGTTTTCTGGTGGTTAACTGGAGATAAGAATCTCATGGACTTTCCTGCCCAGGCTGGCTTTGATCCCAATCCTCAGATTATGGGCATGAGCCAACAATTTTTTTTTTTTTTTTGGTGGGTCGTGGGGCTTGAACTCTGGGCCTGGGCGCTGTCCCTCAGCTCTTCAACTCAAGGCTAGCACTCTACCTCTCTTGAGCCACAGCGCCATTTCCGGTTTCTGAGTGGTCTATTGGAGATAAGAGTTTCACAGACTTTCCTGCCCCAGCTGGCTTTGAACCTCAAACTGCAATCCTTAGATCTCAGCCTCCTGAGTAGCTAGGATTATAGGTGTGAGCCACTGGTGCCCGACCTTCACGGCAGAATCTTAGCTAATCAGGAGACTGAGATCTGAGGATGGAGGTCCAAAGCCACACTAGGTAGGAAAGACTGAGACTCTTATCTCCAATTAAGCCCCCAAACAGCCAGACATGAAGCTTTGGTAGAATACCTAGCTTTGAGCAAAAGAAGCTTAGGGAGCGCACACGGCCCTGAGTTCAAGCCTCAGAACCACCCCCCACCCCCCAAAATACAGTCTGTTTATGCTCTTACAGAGTTCTAGAAGGCAGAACTGTTACATTGCTTTTAGGTTTCTAGAAGGTGGAGTCAAGTCTTCTGGTCCAAAGCCTGTAGGACTCCTAACGAGGAGACCCAGAAAGATGACTTTGAACTTGGCCTTCCCCCTACTCTCAACTCCACTCCTGATCACTGTGGTCCCAAGGAGTGCACTCACCTTTGAGATCAGGCCCAGCATCCTCACTGGAGACCAAGGGTGTGGCTGGATCTAAGGCAGAGAGGGAGGCTCAGGTCAAGGGCAGCCTCTCCAGTCTCCCGTCCACCCTGGCACTGCAGCAAGCACCCACCCCCCTTTCTTCTCTAGGTTAATTTGGGGGGCTCCTTGCGGCTGAAATGCCCTGTCCCAGCCTTTCCCCAGCTTCCCCGGTCTGACAAGTCGTGGGACCTGGATTCCTCCTCCTAAGCCTCGCTCCCCTCCCTACTTTGCTTTACTGCCACTGTCCCTGGAAACTCGCAGCCCTGGCTAGCTCCCTAACCTGCTTATGCTTCAAAATCACCCGGGGGGGGGGCAGGAAAACACATGCTAGGTGCCACCCTTCATGTATGGAACCAGGGCCTCCGAGGATACAGGAGGATGAGAGATGCACCCATCCACCTAGGGTGCTCCTGACTCCTTAGAAGTCCATTCTCCGCTGGCTAGCTAGAGGATAGTTCGTGTTTCAGCACCCACGGACTACCTTACCCACCAAGGCAGGCAGTCTGGAGAACCTCTAGCTCTCACACTTGGCTTCCTTTTCTTACCATCGCTGTACCTCACCAACTCCTACTCAGACTACAAAGCCCAACCCACATGTTTCCTCCTTGGTGAATCGTAATCAGCTTTTAAGCACATGTTGGGGTGCTTGGTCTTATCATCTCTGAGGGACAAGGCTGTCCTCCCAATGTCTCGTGCTTAACCATCTACAGCCTCCATTGTCTATCCTCACCGTCAGTCCTGCCCCCAAAACCCGACCCAGCCGCCACTCAGCCCCCGCAGGGTTAAGGTCTTACCCAGCAGCTCGATGGCCTTGGTGGTCCCGTACACGTCCATCACCGCCCAGAGCGGGGCGCCCATGAGCACGTCTTTGCGCAGCAGGAGCGGGCGGCCGGCGTTGACCTTGGCGTAGAGCCAGCCCCGGCGGTTCACCCAGAAGCAGACCACGTTCCCGGCGCGCACGCAGCCCTCCGGCAGCAGGGACGCCCACGTCGGGCTCTGCTCCTCCAGGTCCGGGCACACGAAGGGCGGCAGGCTGGGCGCGGACAGGCTGGCGGGGTCCAGGCGCGTGAAGCCCACGCGGAGGCCGCCGCACCAGCCGCCCTCCTGGCGCAGCACGCGCAGCGCCACGCGCTCGCCGGGCCACACCGGCCGCTGGCTGAACACGATGCCGTCGTGGAACGTGGCGCCCCGGTGCGCCGTGCACCCCAGCGGGCCCAGCTGCACCTGCGCGCCGCGGGCGTCCTCGTGGAAGCGCAGCGCTTCTCCCGGCGCCTCCGCCTCCTCGGTGGCTGCGGTAGCTGCGGAGGACGCGGGGCGCGTCAGCGCGGGCACCCCGGACGCTCCCGGGGGCTCCTCAGCGGCCTCCCAGCACCCCAAGGTCGCCAGCACCCTGAGCCACCGTGGCCTCTCCTGAGGAACCATTTCTACCCCCCCCCCTGCTCCCACCACCCCGACCACCCGGGCCCCCTGCAGTCCTCACCCCAGGACACCCCCACCCCTGCGGACACCTGCTCCGCAGGGCCCACGGCTTGCCCAGGTCTGATGGTCACTTCCCCAAACATTAGTTCCTCTCCCAGGACGAAGGGAAAACGAAAGGGCCGCGCCTGTCCCCGCCCAGTCTAACCTCAGTTCCGGTGCTGAGGTTATTACTAGTTATTACGACTAAAACCGAAAAAGCAGGCCAAGCTCACACCTGTAAGTCTAGCTACTCAGGAGAACGCGATCTGGAGATCATGGTTCGAAGCCAGCCCCAGCATTCAAATCAGAGACTTGTAGCTCCAATTAATGAACAAAAAGCTAGAAGTGGAGGGCTGGCTCAAGTGGGAGAGCGCCAGTTTTGGACTAAGAAGCTAAGGGTCAGTGCCGAGGCTCTGAGTACAAAAATAAAATAATAATCACAGCAAAAAAAGGACTGGGAGCAGCTCAGGTGCTAGGGTAGCTCCCTAGCAAGCAAGAAGCTCTTGAGTTCAAACTGCAGTACACACACACACACACACACACACACACACACACACACACCAGGCTTAGTTAGGTATCTGTATTTAGATGTTTATAATATGCACATATATCCTTAAGGACCTAGAACTAGCTGGAAGGAGCTGGGCTAACTGTAGTCTGCTTGGCAGATGGCCCTAAGATGTCTGAGATTCCTGGCTTTTCTGATCGGCGATTTTCCCCACAGGGAGCCTGCAACTCATGAAGGCCAGGGTGATTTCCCAGTGCTAGCACAAAAATGGGTCTCAGCAGCTCCCTGGAACATAGTGATATAAGCTGGAGAAGGGGTCAAGGTCAGCCTGGATGTGACCTTGAATTGGGTCCAGCCAAGGCCTAGAGTGGACTTTTGGAACCAGGGGACTTCCCATCAGTGACCATTTGGCAACCAGAAAGGAAAGTTCCCTTCTGTGCAGCCCTTCCTTTTAGTCTTAGCCTAGAGGAAGCTGGTGGAGCTTCCTGTCCCAGAGCCTTTGCTTCCCCCTTTCAGAGTCACACTGCGCTGTGGTCTTGCTCTCTCAAATCTGATGTTGGCTGACTGCTGCTGAAAGGAGATGAACTTCATCTGAACTTGAGCCAGACCCAAGCCAAGCTCCCACCCCAAAATCTGCTCACTTCCCCAGCACACTCTCTGACCACACACACACACACACACACACACACACACACGCACACCTGCCCGCTGTCCAGCAGAGGCAGGGAGGGGACTCAATCTGCTCATGCACAGGGACATCTTTAAGGTCATTTTTAGTCCAGGCCTGACCTCCCCAGGCTGCAGATAAGTTTGAAAAGTCCTCTAGTTCCAAAGTCCACTCTTAAACTTGGTTGGACCCAACTCAGGATTCCTTTCCTGATAAATTAGGGCCCCCGTGTCTCTCCCCATCAGACAGCCATGTCGGCCAGATCCAGGCTCCTCCAGGCCATACCTCACCCAGGGAGGCCCTGAGTGAGCATACCTGGGCTGGAGCAACCCCAAGGGCCCTGACATTAAGAAACCCATCCTACCTAGCCACGCACTGGTGGCTCATACCTGTAATCCTAGCTACTCAGGAGACCTGAGGATCATGGTTCAAAGCCAGCCTGGGCAGAAAAGTCCCTGTGAGACTTTTATCTCCAATTAACTACTCAAAAACAAAAACAAAACTCAGAAGTGGTGCTGTGACTCAAAATGGTAGAGCCTTGAGCACAAAGAGCTCAGAGATAGTGCCGAGGCCCAGAATTCAAGACCCACAGCCAACAACATCCACAAAAGAAACCCATTCTTGTGCTCACTACTGAGTGGCTGGGGCATCCAAATATTGACCAAGGCATCAGGCCGCATCTGACAGCTGGATTCTAGTCCTGCCCTGCTGCTGACCCACGCTGGTCTCTGCTTTCTGGGGCTCAGCTTCCTTATGCACAGGTGGAGTGGTGACTCTGGAATCTGGGCTTCTGCCTGGGGAGCCTGAAGGTGAGGTAGTCACTGGCCACCTGGGCAGGTACATCTGATATCCACTTCTCTCTCAGTGGGTCACTGTTTGCCCCTAAGGTGCAGACTAGAGAGACCCCTGGAGGAGGCTTAGTAAGGGATTAGAGCAGTGGGCCTGTGCAAAGGTTGGACACTGGAGACAGTGAACAGCATGGACAGCCTCTGCTATGCAATCCTGTTGCTTCCTGAGAGACCAGGAGGACCCTCTTGAGAATGGGCAAGCAGAGAGCCCTGGGACAATAGCCATCAGGGACAGCACTAAGGATGAAATAGGGGGTGTCTCAGCCTGACCCAGTACAGACCCATCGAAAAAGTCTGTCCTTGTTGGGTCAGGGAACTAGAGACTGGTCCTCTGAGCTCCATGGGCCCAAGTAGTCAGCAGAGACAAGATGGAGTCTACCCACCCCATCTCTATGTCCTGGATAGTTGAGAACAGAGGTAACTCCTGACAGAGAAGGTAAGAAGGGGAGGTTGGTTCAGTGCCCCACCCTCCTTCTGGAGAGGGGCCAGGAGACAGGCTGTCTAGGAGGGAGATGGGGAAACTCCCTGAAAATGGCCTCTGTGGTCACATGAGTCCCTCATCAGGAAGGGAGGCCCTGGGGTCCCCAGGGGGAACAGATCTTGACTTTGATTAGAGCTTGAGTTGGCAAGAGACCATCCCTGCTGAGGAGCCCTCGCAGCAATCTGTGGGAGCTTTATTCTTTGTCACCCCAATTAATGGAAGGGAGCTGAGGGGACCCTCTGCTGCCTAGGCCCCTAGCTTCCAGGGTACCTGTACGCCCTTCTCCTAGCTCAGTGTTTGGGCTTCACTCACCATCTTAGGCATGAGCCCCCTGGTCACTGCTTGAGTGTGGCCTATGTAAGGGGTTGTCACAGCCAGGACAGTGAAAGGCTCTTTGGGGCTCAGTGTCTCTGCGCGCACTCTCCTGTCCCGTTGTGTTGGTCATTCACTGCACAAGACCTAAGTTGAGTGGGACTGAAACTACCTTCGCTGTGTTAGCCCAGTGAGGACTTTAGGACTTTGTTTACCTCCAGGGGCTCCGTCTCCTCCTTTGCACAGGGCTCCACCTCCTTGTGTTCAGAGCTGGGCCAAAAAAATGGACACTACTTTCATTTTCCTCGGCTTCTCCCAGGACCTTGCAGAGGTCCTCTACCCTTTCACTTGGCTGCCTGGTACGTCTACTCCTGGGACAGGGAGTGGCAGAGGTGGCCAAAGGCTGAGCAGGCCTGTCCCAGCCAGCTGGGTTGGCACAGGGTTCAGAGTTTTCTCCCACCCTGAGGTGCTCATTCTCATCATGGGCTCCATTTTCCAGGCCAGATCTTGAGGCTCCATGAGGCAGAGTGGCCTTCCTAAGGAGGGACTTCCTTGATCACCACACCAGCTTCCCATGCTCTTCACTGCTGCCGTGAGCAGAGACACATGTCAGACTGAACAAGGACCTACCCAGGCTACCAGGAAGTTCAGGGAACCAAAGTTATATCCTCTGTGATGTCCCCACCCCTGGATAGGTGGTGTCAACTGACAGAATCTTTGCATAAGGTTCTTGGAACTTAAAAGGCACACGGTCAATGGCCTGTTCCACGAAGGGCCCCCGAGATCATTGTCACCACCCCTCCAGCCATGAAAGCTTTGGGGGCTTAGACACCCACTAAATCCTTTGTACTTATCTCCCTCCTTGCAGGGAAAGACAGAAGTTATCTGCCTTCCCAGTCATAAGGCAAATCCCAGACTCAGCATCTTGTGCATGAGTGCACACACACACACACACATACACATACACAAATGCACATGAACACACACACACACACACACACACAGAGTAACCTTTATGTAACTGCCACCTCCCTGCCTGGGTTCCAAGCAGTTGCCACAGCAGAAGTATGTCTGAATTCAGCCTGCCTCTGGTGTGTGAGGCTTTGTGAGCAGGGGCTCAGGCTCTGGCTCTGACTGGGAGGCAGGTACCGAGTGGCACAGTCCAAATCCCTGGGGATAAGAACAAAAACAAAGACACCTGGCTCTCACTGGGCACAGGTGGATCATATTTGTAAGCATAGCTATTCAGGAGGCTGAGATCTGAGGATTACAGTTCAAAGCCAGCCCAGGCAGAAAAGTTCCCGAGTGACTTTTATCACCAATTAACCACTCAACAATCACAAGTGGTACCGAGGCAGAGCGCTAGCCATGAGCAAAAGAGCTTGAGGACAGCACCCAGGCTCTGAGTTCAAGCCACATGACTGACAACAGAGGGGGGAAAAAAGAAAAAGAAAGAAACCTTTTTCTCACTGGATACTGGTGGCTCATGCCTGTATCCTAGCTACTCAAGAGATGATATCTGAGAGTTGCAGTTTGAAGCTTAGCCTGTAGGAAAGTCTGTGAGACTCTCATCTCCAATTAAATCACCCAAAAGTTGGGAGTGGGTTTGTAGCTCAAGTGGTAGAACACTAGCCTTGAGTACAAAAGCTCAGGGACCACACCCAGGCCCAGAGTTCAAGCCATACAACCTGCGTACACGTGCGCACGCGTGTGCACGCGCGTGCACGCACACACACACACACACACACAACCAAAACACCTGGTTCCTAGCTGACAGTGTGGGGTGGTGATAGAGCCAGGTCTTGGTTGAATCACCAACACCCTCCCTCAAAAAAAAAAAAAAGAAAAATGTGGTTCTCCAACTCCTAGGTCACCTGTCACATAGGTCTTCAGAATCTCTATGATTGATCACCCTTTAGGTTTGTACATTCTGGTAACCCTGGAAGCCACAGAGTGGATGGCATTATCCCAGGCTTCAGAGGCTAGGAAACTGAGGCTCAAGGATACAGTGACTTGCTCATGATCCAACAGCAAAGCTGGAACCCCTTGCTTTCTACCAGGCCCCCTACTGAAGGGGCCTGCCTCAGACACTATCTGTGTACAGGATCTGAGAAGCGGAGAGGCTATATGATTTGTTTGTTTGTTTTGTTTTGTTTTGTAGCATTATGGAGATCCTGGGCCTGAGTCACCAGCTTCTGTGGCACTTGTGTAGAGACAGGAAGCTCGCTATCATACAGGCAGCCATGGCAGAAGACATTTCTGGGCCTTATGCCACTGACCACACCTTTACCTCCCAAAGCTCCTACCACAGCAGCCTCTGTTCCTCATGCCGGTGAATCGGGAGCCAAGCTCAGGGCATGCAGGTGGTCTACTTACTGGCCTTGGAGCTGAAGTGGGCACCCATCAGCCTGGGGTCCTTGGGCACAGATCCCTGGGTCTGGAGGAAATTGTCTGGTGAAGGAGTGGTCAGGTTTCTGAAGACTCAGGTCCCCTTTTTATGGGCTGCAGATCATATTACAGGGTTGATGATTAATTTGTGTTGTTGTCAAGCATTACCATATCCAGGGAATTTCCTGATCACTTCTCTTGGCTTGCAGAAGACCTGAGGCAGCTGGCTGGCTCGAGAATAAGGAAGCAGAACGGGGGAAAGAGCCTGAGAGTTTTAAAGTAGTCTTCTTTCTGACTTCTGATTCCTTTCTTAACATGGCTGCGCATTGTAATTGCCCAGGGTGTGTTATTAATGACTTGTACTCACACCTGCCCCAAAAAACTCTGGTTCCACTGGCCTGGGGTGGGGCTCAGATATTAGAGGTTTATAAAGGAATCCTGATATCAGGGCATGGTGGCTCATACTTATAATCCCAGCTAGCGGGGGAGGCAGATTTGGGGACTATTGTGGTTCAAGGCTGGCCAGACCCCTTCCCAATTCAATACATTTGGGCATAGTACCTATGATCCCAGCTATTTGGGAGGTAGAAGTAGGAGGATGGTAGTCTAAGGTTTGGTTGGCCCTGGGGAAAATACTAGACCCTACCTGAAAATAAAGTAAAAAAGGGCTGGAGGTGTAGTTCAAGTGGTAGAAAGCCCGTTTAGTAAGTGTGAAGCCCTGAGTTCAAATTCCAGTACCATAAAGAAGAATAACAGCATTTTGGTAACTTCAGGGTGGCTCCAGAATTCCAAAGGTGAATATTCCTGTTTCAGATCTTAGCCTACTGAAGGTGCTAAGTGAAGTGGATTGAACTGAATGAGCTGCAGTTATGTTTGTTCGGGGTCTCTCAGCTGACAAAAGGGAAAAAGGGTGACTGTTCCCCCACAGGCTGGAGCTGGGATTCCGTTGTTCAGAATCCATCCTGTAAGACAGTAGGTCATATCAGAGGCCTAGGTTTCTAGGTGTTCTCTCTAGAAATAAGATCTCTACCCCCCTTTCCAAAGGAAAACTGAGGCTCATTGGGATAAAGGGATTCTAAGATACATTTGAATCTCCTGGGGTCATACTAAAAGCAGATAAACTCAGAAGGTCTGAGATCCTGCTGAGGTCTTGGATACTCACCGAGTTTTTTTTTTTTTCACTCATGGCTGGGGCTCTACCACTTGAGCCATTCTGTCTGATATTTTGCTAGCTAATTGGAGATGGAGTCTCTTGGACTTTTTCTGTTTAATTTGGCTTTCAGCCACGATCCTCCAGGTCTCAGCCTTCTAGCATGAGCCACTGACAGCTGGGAAGAATCTGTGTTTCTAACTGGGGGCTCTAGGAACCCCACTGTAGATAGCAAAGCTGAAATTAGTTTGGAGCTTGTGAAGATCCCAGCCCAGGCTAAGATGTTCTGGAGACCTCAAATCAAGGCCACGATCAGTAACTGCTCTGAACTTACTAAGGGATGGGTTTGGTTGCTTTTTGGTTTGTCTGCAGTACTCACATTTGAACTCAGGGCCTTGTTTTCTAGGCAGCCGTCATACCCCTGAGCCAAACCTTTAGGTCTGATTTTCACTAGTTTTGTTTTTTTTTAGAATAAGGTCTTATGAGGGACAAAGACTGAACAAGTGCAGCAGTTGTACTCACTATACATGATATTAATAATGAACTATACAACTTGTGGACAGGGACAGGAGGGAAAAATTGGGAGACAGTGAGGGAAGAAATGTACTCATTACCTGACTTAGGCAACGTAACTCCTCTGTACATCACCTTTATGATAATAATAAAAATTAAAGAAAAAAGACAGTTGGGTGCCAGTGACTCATGCCTATAATCCTAGCTACTCAGAAGGCTGAGATCTGAGGATTGCAGTTCAAAGCCAGACTAGGAAAGAAAATCCATAAGATTCTTATCTCCAATAAACTACTCAAAAAAAAAAAACTGGAAGTGGCACTGTGGCTCAAGTGGTAGAGTGCTAGCCTTGAGCACAAAGAGGCTCAGGAATAGTACCCAGGCCCTGAGTTCAAGCCCCAGGATTTGCTTCTAGCCTGGGCATGGCTGAATGCAATTACCTAGTTTTAGTTTCCTTTCATCACTGGGATCCCCAGCAAACACCACTCATCCAGCTTCCTCCTGTGGAGAGGGACTTCCCTGGCAGTCTGGCATGGATTCTTGATCCTCCAGTTCTCAGCCTTCGAAGTAGCTAGGGACTACAGATGTGAGCCACCAACACCAAACTTGTTTGTTTGTTTTTCCTTATGGTGCTAAGGTGCTAAATACAGGTTATGCAAGTACTCTGCCACTGAGATACATCTGCCACTAAAGACACAAAAGGATAAATAACCCTAGGTCTGGTGCCTGTGGGTAACTGGCAATGGTGGTATCCCAGGTTGGGCTGGGAGGTTAACTACAGTGAAAGAGAATGGGAATTTGTAGACTCCGTTTCTGCTGTTGCGTAGACTGGGCAGTGCTCTTCCACTGCCTGGACTCTAGTGTCCCCAGGTTTACAACAGGGAGCCAGGATGAGCCGGTCCCTTCTATTCCACATGGTATGGCTGTGGTCTTGGTGAGAGGGAAGTGGGTGACAACATCCTGGTCCTGGTTTCCTCCCAAAACACTGCTGCAACCCTGCACCTTATCTCCCATGCCATGCCTTCCAACAACACTGGGTTTCTGCAACACAGTAGCAGTCTGCCAAATGCCAGAGCAAATGATAGAGTCAATGTCAATCATGGGAACCTAAGGCTGATGGTGTGTGTGTGTGTGTGTGTGTGTGTGTGTGTGTGTGTGTACACACGCGTGCACGCATACACACATGCTAATACTGGGGCTTGAACTCAGGGCCTGGATCCTACCTTTTAGCTTTTTTACTCAAGGCTAGTTCTCTACCACTTGAGCCACAGCTCCACTTTTGACTTCTGGCTGGTTATGTGGAGATAAATCTCACAGACTTTCCTGCCTAGGCTAGCTTCAAACCATGTCATTAGAGCTCAGTCTCCTCAGTAGCTAGGATTAAAGGTATCAGCCAGCAGAACCCACTGGCTGATGGTTCTTTATGGTTCCAACAGGCCAAATGTCCTTATCCCCATTCATGGACCTGGCTGTCCCAGTCTGAGGGCCACGGTACCCCTCCCCCATACGTCCATACCTCCCCCATATACCATGGAAGCCCTACCCGCATTTGGGCAGTGCTGATCCCTCCCCGTTCCTCCCCTGCCTGGCTCTACCTATAGCATTGGCTGCTTTGAGTGGTTCCCAAGAGCTGGAGCCAAGAGTAGCCGTTGATAAACCACATTCCCAAGGAAGAGATATGCATGGCATCTTATCAGGAATCGGGTTTGTGGTTTCAGCCTATCTGGAAAGTTACTGGGCAAGTTGTGGCTGTCAGGTGGCACAAAGCTAATCTGCAGGGCCCCGGTAGGGGGTGGGCACTGCTGCCTGCTCATGTCAACATCCATCAGACCAGAATGCCAAGCTGATCACAGCATTCTCACCCATGTGAATTTTGTGTGGATGTGGCAGTACTAGGGCTTCAGCACACTAGGGCTTGGGTGCTGTCTCTTTGCTTTGTTTTTTGGCTACAGGTTGGCAATCTATCACTTGAGCCACCAATCCACTTCTGTTTTTTAGGGTGTGTGTGTGTGTGTGTGTGTGTGTGTGTGTGTGTGTGTGTGTGTGTGTGTGTGTTTGTTGGTTAATTGGAGAGATTAGAATCTCATGGACTTTTCCTGCTTGGGTTGGCTTCAAACCAGAATCCTTAGTTCTTAGCCTCTTGAGTAGTTAGGACTACAAGTGTGAACATGTAAACATATTGCCCATGTGAACTTATTTAAGGAACTGACAGCCACCTATCTATGACACCTAAGCATTTATGAAACAGCAGAGCCAGAAAGTCATCTTTCTCCTTCTTTCAACCTTCTTCCCTGAATGTAATCAAAATCCCTACCAACATCCACACCTCTGAAGGCAGGAATGGGGAAGACTAAACAAACAGGCCTGGCTCTGCTCTCCATCTACCACCAGCTATTAGTTCTTATACCCCTTTATCCAAGCACACTTCGTGTGTGTGTGTGTGTGTGTGTGTGTGTGTGTGTGTGTGGTAGTTCTGGGGCTCAAACTAAGGACCTGGGTGCTATCCCTGACTTTTTTGCTCAAGGCTAGTGTTCTACCACTTAAGCCATAGCTCCACTTTCAGCCTTTTTTTTTTTTTTGGTAGTTTATTGGAGATAAGAGTTGGGCTGGCTTCAAACCATGATCCTCAGCTCTCAACCTCCTGCATAACTAGGATTATAGGAGTTACCTACTGGCACCCGGCCCAAACACACTTGATATCACAGTGGGTCTGCTTGTATTTCCCCCTTTCTTTAGATCTTCATTTTGTAAGGCTCTCAGATTTCATAAAACTTGAGCTGCATACTTTATGATTCACACCTACTCGGGAACCTGAGAGGTAGGATTGTGGCTTGAAGCTAGCCTGAGCAGGAAAGTCTTAAATTCTAATCTCCAGTTAACCACCAAAAAGCCAGAAGTAGAGCTGTGGCTCAAATGGTAGACTGCTAGCCTTGAATAAAAAAGCTCAGTGACAATGCCAGGCCCTGAGTTTGAGCTCCAGGATTGGCACACATACACACACGAGTGCTCATGGATTGGCACACACACACACACACACACACACACACACACCTTAATCAAATGCACGTTTATTTTCTCTTCTTAATATTACCTAAGTAGTGGAAGTCCCAGTCATGAACCTGGTGCTGAGTGAGGAGTTACCATACTTTTCTTCCCTGTAAGACACCTCTGTTGAAAGACCAGTAGTATATGAATTTGAGGATCCTCATGGCAACTCTTCTGAAAAGTTTCTATTTCTTGTCATCATTCCTACTTCACAGTGGGGAAAAGTGAAGCACAGGAAGCAAAGCAGCTCTCTCATGATCACAAGGTAGGTAGTCATAGAACCAGCATCCAGCCCAAGCCTGTGGTTCAGGAGCTCATGAGGTCACTG